TCGAGATAGGTTTAGTGTGACACGCCCATGAAATTAGTTACTAGTCTAACGTACTGAACTGACTAGGGGTTAAAAGGATCCAAATTTACTTTCTAAGGGTATAGTTTCATCGATTAAACTGCACAAGGTTCAGTAACAAACTTGCAAACATTTTTTTCTACCTGCTCAGCTTAAACTTAAAAATAAATTTCTTTGTAATATATTTTCCTAAAATATTTTACTAAAATCATCAAATAATTAATAACTGGTAAATATATACTTCCAACTTAAAAATATAAATTTAATTAATAATTAAATATTAATAAAAAATCAAACTTTAATCCTGATAATATCTTTTCTGATTATCATGTTGCTTTTCATTCTTGAATGGAATCACTTTAAATTATGTTATTTGTTGTATTTTACAAAAACTTGATTGAAATTAGATTTAAACCTCAACTATCATTCATTTCATGTTCATTACAATTATATTTGTTGATTATCAATAAACTTCATCCATTTAACGTACCTAAATTCTCTTAAAATGATTATTTATTCAGTCCAGATCAATTGTATCATTCAAATTTATTTGAATATTATAAAATGAATGGCTACAAAATGTAATAATCCCTAAACCTATTTAGTCTCTTTACTTGAAAACATTAATTTATGCGATACATTTATATATGCCTGGTTAACTAAGTTTCAACAGCTCGGCGGCTAGTACTACCACTCGAGTGATGGTGAATTTTAAAAAGCAGAAAATAAATTACATAGTTTAGTTGTAGAGAGAGAAATGATTTCGTGTGACGATGCATGAAGAGAGAAAAAGAAAGAGAGGAAAGAGACAACTTTGTTCCACTTGTTTGATGCTTCGTGTCGAGGCTACTTTTCCAAACTTCTCGACGTGAATAATTGTCAATGAAATATGATAGTTACGAGGAAAGTAGAATCATTATACCCTCGGAAATGAGTGCAGGCTGAGAGAATAAATTGTAAATTATACTTGGAGACATCGTACACTTGTGCACAATCACGATATTCAAAGGAAATTTTTTAAATCAACCTTGTAAGAAGTATATAAAGTAACAGAAAGACATTTTGTTAAATTGAAGCCACAGTACTTGTCTTGGTGGCATTATAATTTGTATGAAATTACCTGTCCAACAAGATAATGAAACAACATGATGACATTTTTGGGACATAAATATACTTTAATCAGGGTTTTATTATCTCCCATTGATGAGGAATATCTCAGTACTAAAATCATAACTGTCTTTCAACTTTAAATATTTTTATACACGAAATAAAGAAATGACTATTTTTCACTCTGAATATAGAACGTTCCAACTATCAGCCATTAAATATAAAGTTAATGTAAAGCTCTCTTCATCGAGACGTAATTGTTTATTTTACTCATAAAAATATTCGGAGTATGTTTTCATAATTTTTTCTTTAATAATTCAATTCAATCAATACTTCTCAATCAAGTAGTATTTTTATTTGAATAAATCTCAATTAAAATAAAAAACAAGTACAATTTCAGCAATGTTTAATGAAAATTTTAGTCATACCAATTGAAAGTTTACAAAATAATGAACAAAATTTTTTAGAACCATTAGAAAAAATTTTTTTTTCCTTTTCATTTGATGACTGATGAATTTAAATAAATAAATTCGAACAAATATAATAGAAAATTCTGATGGATTTTTTTCTGAAACAAAGAGAATGTGAAACATGAACATTATTTAGCGTATGAATTACATTTGCGGTAAAGTGCGTGGGATATTCATCATCATCTTTACTTCAGTTGTATCATACTTAATTTTCTTTTTATACATGTCTTCTGTACCTATGGGAACCACGGGAACCTGGAATCACAACGACGGGTGTGTTCCAGCCGGTTCCCGGAACCGTAGCATTTGTTTCTCGTGGTAAAAAAGATGAAAAAGGACAATAAAAAAAGAAACAAGACAAAACGAAAAAAAGTAATGCAAGAAAAGGAGTAAACTAGTGAGAGAAGAAGAAGAAGAAGTAAAAACAAGGCGCAGAAAGCGAATTGAGGTTCGAAAGAGAATAGATAGGATTCCGCACGCAAATTCGACGTTAACGTTAGAGAAACGTTTAATTTGACGAATCCCTCGAAATGGCACGCGATCGTTTACCTCAAAAATTCGGGACATAGCCTCCCTTATTTCCCCCCTTGAAGAGGAGCACCAATCCTCCTAGGTATCTCCCCCATGCCTATGCAGCTGCCTTGTTATACTGGGCTTCATTAAGCGACTATGACAAATAACTAGAATTTTCCAATTATCAAAATGTTACCATCTATCTACTCATCTCCTTCAATTTAATGGCTCAAACTACTACCTTTATAACTTCTTCAATATCTATCAAAGTTTGGTGGTAACCATTGATTCTTTCTTCGTCTGATTCTAGTGTAATCTTAATGATTAGGTACAAGTCTATTTCGTGTTTCACGTGGTACTTATTCAAACAATACTTTTATTTAATTACTGTTATTAAATAATATTTATGAAAATTATTTTTGTTTGACTTTGAAATAACATATAATCACTATTGATCAAAATGTTAAGTATCGTACAATGAAAAATATTTTCGTGCTTTAATTGAGTGTTATTCAAAAAGAAGCTTCAGTTGAATATTAATAAATGATCAAATTTTGTATCCATTAAGTTGTTTTAATTAAATAAATAAAAAATATCTACAATAATAAAAATATGAACAATTATTATTGGCAACTTGATTAAAATTCAAAAAACAATGTTTAAAAATTTATTACAATGTTAATCAAATAGCTGACATCAGTTTAAAGCGATTTGAATGTGTTAAATTAAAACACTACGATTTGGCGTGTAGGAAATATTTACAAAATTGGTAAGACTTGTAGTGAGCACATTATCAAATTATTCTTCATAAGATAATTGTTTGAAAAATTAAAAAAAATAAAACTAATAACATTTATTAAATTTTATTCTTTTGATAACTGAACCATATCTAATTGAAGTAAGTTATTTTCTATCACCCAAGAGTATCTAATTATTTAAAATAAAAATGAAACAAAAATGCCTTTATCTATGATTTGTTTCTCTTAGCTAAGCTAAAATTAATTTTTTCAACCAATTTCAGTTTGAATCAATGTTGATTAATTTTTTAATTTATTTGAATAAATATTATTAAATGTGAATTTTCAAAGGGTTGCATGAATTAATGCGTACAATTAGCTTTAAATACGTAGGGTTGGAAAGCTATGAATAAGAAGATGGTTTTATAATAGCAGAGCAAAGCGTACAAACTATTAGGTTGAAATAAGCGGTTGAATAATTTAAATTGATATAGCAAGCGAGGAATTGCTAATTGCTGGTTCGCTTTCTTGCCACGCTTTGCTAGAATGGGGGTGGCCAACAGCCGTATCTCTCTTTGCATTACTATGTGAGTTGTGTCGACATTTGTATATAGTTTCCACACTGATTCCTCATACGTATGTGCCACTTAATGTTCGTGTGAAAAAACTCACAATAACTCATTTGTAATTAATTATAGTAAATTAATATCATCACGTCAGCATTTCTACGTTACATGAAGATGTATTATAAAGGTTAAACGTTTCACTGAGGAAGTGACAGATTATTCACAATGTGCATTTCAGTTGCAAGTTAAGAAAAAATTAACTCCATCAAGAAATGATTATCACACTGACATATCTCAATAAATAGATTTATTAAATATTTTTTGTTTAATAAATATTGTAATTTTTATGATAAATTTGTTATATTATTGGAGATTACAACGACAGAAGAATATGAAAATTTTTCAAACTTAAAAGAACTTCAATTTTGACTTGATATCTTTGATGAAATGACTTTTTTATTTCGGAATTTACTATAACGAATATAAAAAGAATAAAAGAACAATGAAAAACATCTGTTATCTCCTTGAATAGTTATTACCTCCTTCAATATCATTATTTTTATATATAACATCAACAATGAATATTTCCTTTGATATTGAAGACAATGATTGAATAAAATTGTGAGAAAAAAAAAAACTTCTATCAATATAATAAACTCACAACGAAAGAAATTATTGTAAAGGTAAAACATCTCAAAAGCTAAATGAGCGTCAGTTACTTTGCCGAGTGCGTTTCAACTTGGAAGAAAAAAAATATAAAAGACTAACGATGAGTATATTCTCCAAAGGCTTTTCGTCTTATTGGTGAATTTAAACAGTCAAAAGTTCAAAAACTTGCGAGTTTGCAATAAGCAGGCGTTTAAGAAGACATTCTTGTCAAAGTTGCAAGAAAAAAGAAAACTTTAGTTGGTTTGAAAAAGTGGTTAAAACTTCAAGATTTTTTTATTTTTTACATCAGTTTATTTTGTGTTGTTATCAACAGCAAGAAGAAATGAAGACAAGACTTACAGGTTGATTGGAATTTTCGGAGTTTCACACGCTGTAGAGCTGACAACGTTGAGTTTGGGTTAGGGGGAAGAGGGCGAAAAGAGCAGCCGGCTGACTTGCGAGACTTTCTGAGACATGACTATGAGACGAGAACGAAGCTAACGACCAAACGTCACGAGACAATCCCGAAGAAAACGCGAGGGCATGAGTCGCAAATGCGACTTGGTAAAACGAGTGCCACGAACAAGGATATTTAACGAGGCTTTGGAGTTTGAGCAATACGACTTATGGTCACCTTATACGACATTATGTAGTTTGTAAATTGTCTACCTCCATCTCACTCTCATTCTACAATCATTTGCCTTTAATTCCCTTGTCATGCTACCGTTTTGTCATAATCTTTTGTTTTTCAGTACAAATATATTCATTGCATTCCAGACTTTCATGATAATATGATAATTTGACACAAACTTCTTGAAGTCATTAAAACTGAGATTCTTAATTCAATATTAAAGTTCAAAGTTCATATTGACTTCATTTAATTGTACTTTTTAGTACACATCATCAAGAATTGTAACTGTCAAAAGTTTGTTAAAACTCACCAGCGTAGTGCCTTTGGAAAGCCAGGGCTCCACACAATAAAGCTAGAGTCTTGCCACTACCAGTTGGACTCTCTAATAAGGCATGTTCTCCCTTGGTACATCCTCGTATTAGCTGGAATTAAAATTATATGTTGGTTCTCTTCGTGTTTACTATTTTTTTATTGTTTGAAATTATTTTAATTATCTGCAGCGTATATGAAATTTTAATTAATTTATAAGACTTTATTTTTTATCTGAATTATAATTATATTGATTGTTTTTAAAACCTATAATTTTTCTAGCTATCTCAAAATAACTAACACAACTTCCTACCCTTGTTTTCTCTTTTAGAACATGTGTAATAGATATTATAAATATTTAATCACAATCCACTTTGGTAGTAAACAATTATACAATGTATTTGAACCCTGATAAACAAAAGTTGTATTACAACATATTTAGTTCCAATCGATGTTCAAATACAGCTCTTGTCTATCAAGAAAATGTAACACAATATTAACTAAATTTAAATTATACGCAATTATTAGATATTTATGATTAATTAACAATTTAATATCAGTTATAATAATTTTTGCAGATAAATCTTAGCATTTATTAGAACTTGAATAATGATAAAAAATCATTAATACTTACTGCATTCATTACAGCAACCTGAGAACCATACGGTTTCAAAGGAAACATTACATTCACACCAGCAATCATCAGCTGAGTTGGTGCAGCAATAGTTGGAGGTAATTTGACATCCGTATTAGGCAACTCTAAACTGTCAGAAGAACTACTATCATCCTCATCATCTGAGAAATTGTGATACACAATATTTCTTTTTTTTGAACCATTTTCTAGAGGACTTATTACTCGTTTCTTCACATCTCCACGATTTTCTGGATTATCAAAAGCCCAATTAAAAAATTTTTTTGGAATTCTAATCGGTTTAGGACGGCGTACATTATTTGAAGCTGAAGCTATAGAACTTGAATTTGATGAAACTGAAGCTTGATTAGTTTGTATATTATCTGAAGACACCTGTTGTGCTGAATTTCTATTTGAAACTTGATTATTGATGCTACTGTCACTAGCAGATTCATCATCAGTAATTGCATATTCTTCGAACTTAAAGCTTGAACGAGAAGAACCGTCTTCAGAATTGTTCCTGTTTTTAAAAAACCTTGGATTTGCAGCTAGTTTTTTTGTAGGTTGAAATTCTATATCAGTGGCTGAATCTTCATCATCAGAAATAATAATTGTGGCCATCTACAGAGATAAAAATTTATAATAATATATTTATCTATACAAAGAAAAAAAAATTAATATAAAAAATTCGTCAAAATATTTACTGATTGCAAGCATTTTTTATTTATAAGTAAAGTAAATGTATCAAAATAATATTTAACCTCAAAGGATTGTCATGAACTCACCTTGACATACGAATGATCATGAGACAATTACACCATTAATAAAATACGTATTACTTTTTTGATAAACGTAACCTCTTAACAACTAATTAACTTGAATTACAGAACAAAAAGCTTCAAGTCACTTTTTAAGAAATGTCAACAATCACACACAACACATGCAGTTCGCGGTAATTCACCACGTGTTGCGCATGCGTTGAAATTTCATCGCAGCCCTTCAATTCTGGTAAGCAAACCTGTAATTACGGATAAATTTTACAAATTTAATCCTAACAATTATAATTAATTAACTTATTGTAAAAAATTTGCCTAAAAATTCATCCAAATATCTTCATCATCTGTATCAAAGATTCTTTTGTCTTATGATGAAAACAAGTTCCAATTTGAACATTAGCTGGTGTACATACACAAACATTTGTCAACTGAACACACACACACACAACATAGCATGCATATGTCATGTGTGTGCTCAGCACTGGCAAACGCCTTTATCTGAAACGCAGCCATTGTTCTCTTATCGTTTCGAATTTTGACCACAAGATGGCGTTACATTATAACAACCAAGGTGAAGTTAGGTCATTTCGAATGGATGAAATAAAATAGATTTGATTCCACGAAAACATCAATAAAGTTTGTAAATAATTACAATTATTTTCAATTATTTAATAATTATACTTATAAAATGATGTACTTAAGTTGTTTAATGAAACATCAAGTGGTAATAGTAGTAAATCTCTACAATAGCAAAGACATTTGAGTAGAATAATAAAAAGATGATGAAATTAGTATGAATAAATAGGTTATCGATGAATTAAAATTGAATTATCAAAATGATATTTCCAAAATACAGTAACATTAAATGTTCTGGATATGTTTATACTTAAGTAAAGTAGCAAAACTTATCGTTACCAACATCGAGGTAGGTCAACGAGCCATGAGTTATGTGTACCCGGGGCGATGGCCATAAAATATACGAAGGGTGCAGCCAGTCATTATTACGAAAGGCGCTAAATTGCGTGTAACACCCCACGTTTCACAATACCGGATTAAATTTTATTCTCTTGAGAAAGTTCATGGATCTGTGCATCTTCAATATCTCCAAATTTAATACAATGTCAATTGTTGTCCAGCTATTATGCAGTCTTTAATAAGTAATAGTCATTGACAAAAGAACTAGTGACACTAATAAATAAGAGCATCTAGCTTTGATTTGTTTTATTATTGAATAGAATCTTATTTAATAAAATAAATCTCACATTACTGATATTGAAGAAAGTATATTCAAGATGATTTTTATTATAAAAACCTACCTATATGAACAATTTTCAAAAAATGAAGGTAAATATCCATTAGTTTCATTATAAAATCTAAAATATTTTTTTATTATAAAAGAACTTAACGATGAAATGTTAAATGAAAAATGAACATTACATAATAAGTCCAACTATTTAATTTTTCTCAGTGTAAAGATATATATTTTGAAAGTATATCGAACTACATAAATTGAAACGTATATTTTATATTCAATCAATTACTTAAGGTCTAAAGTATTAATTTATTTTATGACATAATAATTCATGTTGAACTAAAATATGGTATTTTTTTAGGTTTCAAGAAATAAATAAATATGATTGCTATAAAATCAAAATTTATTTTTTGGATACTCTCATCCTCATTCGATTGGAATATTATTCAACAGTACTTCTTTACTCTTATCAATGGTTCATCAGCTTAGATGCAGCAGCAGTAGTGTTTGGGGTAAGTTTCTACAAAAATACAGTTCTACGATATCTTAATCTCAACTATTTTCATTTTGGTGTATCGCAACGCTAAGCGGTTGAAATAAAAAAAAGAAGAGTAGAGGAGAATAGAAAAGAGGTGGTCCATAGTACATATCTGGACCAAGTCCACGAAATATGAAATATAAATAAAACATATTCCCTTGCCGCATGCAATAAAACGCGGGGAGATAACGTCTATGCGCAAGGAATACGAAATGCTGATGTGTGTTGTGCGTGCGTCTCCCTTTCATTTGTCTGTCCTCTTTCTTCTTTTCATATTCTCCTGCGCATACAACCCCAGGTCCTATTTTTGACCGAGTCCTCTTCACATCATAGAAAATAAACGTGGTGATTGCGTCGGACATGGTACTGGCCACAATTCTATATGGATAATATATTATTTTTATTTCACTCCGTTCATGAAACCATGTAATATTTATATCATCTAGAATGTAGAAGATTGATAATTTGTCAAATTTCTTTTACCCTCAAAATTTAATATTCTCTGCTTTTCGGATTATTTTTCTGTAAAATGAAGGTGATTATTCAAACAGTAAAAGTTTGAGTAATGATTTCTTCTGTAGAGAGTAAAATTATCAAGCAAAGTGAATTTATTGGAAATCGTTAATAAGGACAATACTCAGCTTACTTACTTTAAAGAAAACTCTTATTATATTTCTTATCATAAAAAAGAATTATTGAGATGAAACCTATTTCCTGATTGGAAGAAATATTTTCACATTTAATTTTTTTTGTTGGTTTATTCATCTAAAGTGATCAATTTTATAGGCAATATCAACAACTTTCTTTATTATTTTTGTTCTTCATTATTTTTTATTTCAGCTTTTTTCTACTTCTATAAAACAACTATTAGTTTATACAATAATATTTTTAATGATTCTATAAAACACTTCTATCTGATAATTATTCGTAGAAAATTTTTTTTTAGGTGTCAATGATAAATATTATGCAGATAAAAATAAAAACAATATCCACATAGGAAGCTAATATGGTTTTGAGGGTAAATTGGTAATGTTCTATGACTAAGCCAATACTTCATTAAGGCGCGGTTGAAGTAGTCATTCAAGCGTGTCTTCAATTTCAGTGTTTTTACTATCTCTTAGCTGTATCTATTGGTCAGCGATAAGAAAAGAGCATAGAAAAGTTATCCCAATCTCGATAAGCATTGATTAGGATACTAAAGTTAACTGGCAATTCCTCGAAACCATGTGTACTTGACTCTTATCAGTCTATTCCCGTAACGAATGACCCCTTGAGTGTCAAATATTCGATTGGACTCATGGGAATTTTTCTCCCATCTACTTCGTGGATCTTTAAACCTAACAATTTGCAGTGAGGCTTGTACAATGATGCTAGATGAGGGTCAAGGGTCTTAGCAGAGGACTGAAGTAAAACAAAAGAAACATGCTGGCAAGGGTAAATAGAGAAGTTGTCCGATGTGTTAAGTAGTTAAACATTTTTTAAACGCACAGAAGGAATCTATTGTAAAAATAATTCATGAAAAATGACAAAAACTGACGTTTGGTGAATTTAAATACTCTAAGATAAATACAAAAGGTCAAACAGTTGCTAGGAAGAGGGGCTGGTCAGAAGACATCGATCAGATACGATCACGGTGGAATTAGCCGTCCCTTTCAGGACTCGTACCTCATTCCATCCTTCCAAACTTTATCCCTCTGGTCTTGTGTTCTCATTCAAGTCCGACAGAGTCAACTTGCAGTAGTGAGTTTCAACAGAGGCATGTGTAGGATCTACTGTTCCCTCACTCCCCGTAGCTATCCTTGGAGACGTCTGCTTGATGGAAATACTCTCAATTCTTTATTTCCAAGGCATAAAATTCACGTTAAAAAATACGACAACATTTTCAGTCGTATTTAGGGTTCGAATGAAATTTCTTGCGGTGGATTTTATGCTAAAATTTATCATGAACGGAAATATGTGCAACTTTTTAAGCGATGTAAAATCGTCATGGCAAATTAATCGTGCGACAAGCGTTAGCAGACGTGTGATTTAATAATAAAAAGTCATCCCTCTTACGTGTCATAGGGTTGGCGAGACGATGCAACCCCCGTAGAGTAATAAGTTTAGTTTCTCCGGAGAAAACCATAAAACAGTGCGGCTCACAGCATGATGTCTCGTTGGCGGCAGACTCTCAGTTACCAAATCGAGATCTACGCCTACCCTTGTGTATCGTTATGGTCTTCGCTCACCCAACTTCTTTCTGTTTACGTGAATGTATGAGTGATAATATATCTTCATAGATATACTACGCTCTAACATTTTAAGTTCATCAATTATCTTACTACATAACATAAAACACTTACTCATTTTGTTGTCATTTTTTGTTTAGCTTTTTAAATTTTATTTTTTCCAGTATTTCATAATAATTAAAAGCCCATGAGAATGTTCAATATTCATTTTTTATGGAACTAATGGAGACACCTTTAAAAAAAAATTTATTTTAGTTAACTCTTTTTAAGTAAATTGATTAAATTATTTCTCATTAATTAATTACATTATTCCAAATAGAAAAAAAAATGTATTGGCTTACGCACGTCAAAAAAATGCCTATAAGAAAAAAATAGAAAAGGAAAATGATTAGGGGTAACATCACCCTTGCCTGGAAGTTATTAGGGTGTGATTTCATTTCCAAATTTTTCACCAAAGACCACGGTGATGATTGCACATATTTTCCATCTTTTTTCTATGGTGTATAAGGCTCAGCCTTAGGGTTAAATGGCCGATGCAAAAAAGTAATAAAATAAGTTATAATTTGGCGCAGTCGGCGACGCCCTGCTCAATGTCCTGTATGATCACCGCGCTCTCTCGCTCTGCTGCACAATCATCCCTTTTTCCCCTTCTTCCACTATCCCTCTTCCAAGCTAAAACAAAATTGAGATGGTACTTTGTTCTTTTTCCTACTCCAAGTTATTTCATTTTCTATCTTTCCTCTTTGACTAGTTTTTTCTCAACATATCAAACATGTTGTAGCTTGTTTAGATCATGATAGAATGGATCAAACTTCTATCAAGTTCTTGATTAATTTCCTTCTCATAAATACAATAAAAAATGAAGAACCATTTTGTTCGTTCTGCTTTTCAATATAATTTAATGGTTCAGAAGGAAGCATTTAGACCTTATCAACAAGATCTAAGTTTAATTTTTATGATAGCTATCAAACTCATCCAAACTATCAATACAAGTATTAGCGGAAGTCTAGAAGTTGCATATTAATTTTAGGACTGAGTTCTCATCAATTTCGTCAAGAATAAGAGCAAAAAAATAACTGATGTATTATTTTGTAGAAATGTTCAAGGTTTCAGAAGAGGGGCCAAGGGAAAAATGCAACCAAGTGAGAGAGTCGCGGATCGTTAAGAATGGAGTCAATAGTCGTCGCGTAATGGACACCTATAAACAC